TTCTGCTCCATGATCTTTAAGTTTTATGTCTACAAAAATGAGTCATAAAGTATTTTAATTCTCTATGTTCACACATGATGTTCAGTATCAATTTTGCWCTTGAAGTACATTTTTCGAACAACAGCTTTCCATGTTAACATTGAACAAAAAAAAAAAATAAAAATCCTAATCGCTGTCAAAAGTTAGGTCAATCTAATGCAAAACAGTCTGTAGCTCCAGGTAGTTAAGATTCACAGAACTTCTGYCTAAACAGAAGTTTTCCCAATTATGACAGTTCTGGAAACCAGCCCTGCCTGTGCTAGCCTAAGGCCACCGGCTGGCAGAGCCCCATCACCACTGCTCCACAGGGCACATACTTTTTTAGCGGCCAAAGTGGCTAGAAATTAAGTAAACTCACAAACTGACTCCCAGCCGGAGCCTGAGAATCAGAATGTTTTATTAACCTGCGGTGTAAAACCACTGCAGACGTGCTTGCCCCAAACAGAAAATATTTGCCCACATTTGTTAACATGGACCCGGTTTTGAGGAAAAAGACGTATTTTAGAAGTCTATTAAAACTGGATGAAGAGTTACCGATGTTGGTAGCTCCCGCATCCAGGCTGTTTTCCAGCAGCTCCTTCACAGCAGTGCCGAGGTTCAGCACCACCTGTCCCGAGCAGATGCGATGGACGGAGCGGCGGTCGATGGGCGCGATGGCCCCGGCGGGCAGCGGGCTGGGGAGAGAGGGACAGCAAACCACGGCGTGAGAGCGGCCAGCAAAGCCCTCAGGATTCCCTGAGAGAGCCGGAAGGGGAGGCGGGAAGCGAAGGGAAGCAGAACCGCGCCGGCGGCCGAGACACGGCCCGTGCGGGGATCACGGCTCCCGTGAGGGGAGCCAAGAGGCCTGGGCGCGGGATGCGAAGGCCGGGCCAGAGCCGGTACCGGTGGGTGCACACACTCACCAGGGCGCAGCCGCCTCCATCAGAGCCCCGGCGGGACGGGACGCGCCCTCCTCAGGCTCCCCCGCCCCGCTCGGTGAGCGCCGGGAGCGGCCGGAGCGCACCCGCCCCGCACCGACCGCGCTCCCCGGCCCGGTGCCTCAGCCCTCCGCCCCTGTGGGGACGCGCTCAGACAGCCAATGGCAGGAGCGCAGGCGGGCGGACCCGCAGTCCATTGGCTCTCTTATGTGTCAGTCAGGCGGCGCTCCGCCAATGGGCGCGGAGGGGGGCGGGCCGGCGGCGGCGGAGCGGGCGCGCTGCGGGGCGGGAGGCGCCATGCCCGCGATGTACAAGGTGCGGCCGCTGCACAGCGCCGAGGTGCTGGCGGGACACCTGCCCACCTGCATGTACCCCCTGCCCAACCTGCACCGAGCCCCCGGCACCGCCGCGCCGCCGCCGCAGGTAGGAGCGGAGCGGAGCGGAGCGGGGGGTGGGCACAGCGGAAGGGCGTGCTCGGGCCCTGGCGGGGTCAGCCATGCGGCCGCCGGGCCGGTGTTCCCTTCGGGCCGGTGTTCCTTTTGGGCCGGTGTTCCCTTCGGTGGGAGCCGCAGTTCGGGACCGGGAGGAGCCTCGGTTACCGGAGAGCTCACGGGGTGGGGTCCCATCGCCTCAGCCCGCAGGACGGGCCTGGATCCCCCTTCCCTCAGCGGCTCGTCTGAGGGTTAAATAAACACAGCGTTTTCAGGAATTTCTTAGTGATATTTTAAAGCCTTCACTTGTTCTCAGCTCGGCTTTTGTGGGCTCTCGCGTGTGTCCCTGTGGCGGTTTTTATGTTTGAATGGCCGTGCCGAGCTCCTGCCAGGCCTCGTTCCGTCCTGCTGCATCATCATCGCTTTGCCGGCTCAACTCTGCATTTAGCCAGCTACACACCCTCTGTTTCTAGTTTCAGTTTCTTTAGTCTTAAATAAGGCAAAAATCTAAAATGCTGTGTTACGTAAGGCTAATTGAGCAGCCTCTCTCCAGTGCCAGGAATGCAATGAATTCTCACAGGCCGCTTGTGGCCAATTTTAGCTTGATGCCATCACGGATTTGCTGTGCCCTCGCCCAGGCTGGTGCTGGAAATTACTGAGTAGGAGGAACTTGGGTCAGAACTTAACAGGATTGTTAAATAAATGCCTTCCTTTTGCAAAGCATGGAATTGTGTACTGACTAAATAATGGTCGCATAAGAGGTCTTTCCTTGTCTTTGAGAATATTTTGTTAAGTGGGTATAAAGATTTTACTTGGATACCTTATTTATCTCTTGATCCATGATAGTTTGGGTTTTGTTAATCCTTGTTCAGGATGCTTAGATTATATAAGGGTTTCTCTCTATTTTAAGCTTGTAGACTTAAAATCTGCCAGAAAAATATATTTTTCATCTTTTGAAAGAGGTTGTGAGATGCTTGTAAAGTAATTAAGATTAAAAGCTGCATTGGTATTATTATGTAATAAAGCCCATGGTCTGTTTTTCTTTATATTTTATATTCTCTGAATATGGAAAATTATTCCAAAGAGCAGTTTTGTAAGACACAGCATCCATCTAGATCTTCAGGTTTTTTTACTTTTATTAACTCCCTGATTTGTCAAAATGTTTCCTTRTATGGCCAATGTACCACAAACGTACCCACCTACTCYTCTGRGYTAAAGAATACATCACAAGCTAACTKTGATTTTTCAGTTTTCATTCAGCACTTCACTGCCAAACTCTTGCCTGATTCTGACTATGTTACAGAGTTTGCTGTAACGAATGGTTTAATGAATACATTAAGCAGAAGATTTCAGAAATTTATTAAATACGCCATCTCACCAGTCATACAGATACAAGACAAGTCCACGATATTCACAATGCTCTGGCTATCTGAATGTGTTTARTCTTTCAAAACTTAATGTCAAGTGGGCTGTGGACTGTTTTGACAGCTGAGTGAATGTTCACATGGCCTTGTTTTTCCCTCTCCTGTAGGAAGAGGTTGACCCATCACTTCAAGCACTTGAATCCCGCCAGGAGGAGATTCTAAAGCGTTTGTATGAGCTGAAGAGTGCTGTGGATGGGCTCTCCAAGATGATACAAACCCCAGATGCTGACTTTGATGTAACAAATRTCATTCATACTGACGAATTTGCTCCTTTGACAACAAATGGAGCAGATTTAGATCTGATGCTTGGAAAGGTGAGTTCAGTTGAGCAGGTMCATTGGTAGGCACCTTCTCCATGTTCAGTTTTTGGGGCTGGAGGGGTGGCATTAAAACCTGGGACACTCAGAACACAATATCCAACCTACARCTAYCATTTCATTTTGGGCATCCACATCACACATACAAACATAAATACTAATACTGTATGTACTCGCATATAATCCCAAGCTAGAACAGGTAATTTTGAAACTAGAACAATTGGTTTCTTTTTTATTAAACTGGAAACTTAACTTTGGCTTCAGATTGGAGTAGAGTTTACCTCAGTCACATCCTTGAATTACATGCTGAGGGAGGAAGATGTTTTAAAGTTTAAACAAGTTTTGAATTGCCAAACTTGAATTGATTTACTTGAACATCGTTAGAATTTCAGATATACACATGCATGACTATGTACATTTTGGTGTCAAATGAAAGCCATGYTTATGAGTATGATCTGGAATGTGTCTTACCTGCTGAATGTTTTAYTTTTCATTCAGGATTATGGTGCCCTGAAAGATGTTGTCATCAATGCCAATCCTTCTCTACCTCCACTGTCACTGCTGGTGATACACAGTCTGCTTTGTGAGCGCTACAAAATACTGTCAGCTGTTCACACACATTCRTCAGTGAAAAGTGTGCCAGAAAACCTCCTGAAATGCTTTGGAGAGCAGACTAAGAAGCAGCCACGTCATGAGTATCAGCTGGGCTTTACTCTGATTTGGAAGGATGGTAAGAACAAAATTTGTAGATCARTATTTTACAATAGGTGAGAAAATGAAACTTGTGCTATAAACCCTTGCCAACAGAGGCCTAGGTCGTTTTGTGCTGACATACGGGGGATATGAAGAGTTAGATAAAATTTTTGTTGTCTTCTCATAGCTGTGAACCATGCTGGGCCAGAGGAAGATTCCTGTTTGGAGTTAGTGCTGTTATAATACACATGGCATTGACAGGGGTGTTTGTACCCTAATGATTTTTTTTTTTAATAGCAGTGTTTTTCAGTTTCTACAAATAAGGCAGCCCAAAGAGGAATTAGGTGGGACACATGGCTGAAGTTTCAAAGAGTGATCTCTATGCCAGAAGACTAAAAACTGTTCATTAACCTGATGATGTTAACAGTAGTGCTGGCATTATACATAATGGAATTACCATTCTATTTCACTGCTTTACTATGTTACATTCAKTTTTTCCTTCTGTTCATTTCAGTTCCCAAACCGCAGATGAAGTTCAGCATTCAAACCATGTGCCCTATAGAAGGAGAAGGGAACATCGCTCGRTTTCTCTTCTCCCTGTTTGGCCAGAAGCACAATGCAGTTACCTCCACTCTGATCGACAGCTGGGTGGACACAGCCATCCTGCAGCTGAAGGAAGGCAGCAGCAAGGAGCGAGGAGCAGTTCTGCGCTCCATGAACGCTGCCCTGGCCAGGAGCTCCTGGCTGGTGGGCAATGAACTGACGGTGGCCGATGTGGTGGCGTGGTGTGCCCTGCGCCAGACGGGCACTGCCAACAGCGCCCCGGCCAACGTGCAGAAATGGATGAAATCCTGTGAGAACCTGGCACCTTTCAGCTCCGTGATGAAGCTGCTCAAGTGAGCCTGCACCCTTTGTAGTGATGTTTTAATCTTGTGCCACCTCATACCTGCTGTAATGTTCGAGTCCTTTCTGAGATGTATTTTAAGTACTACAGTTGGACAGAATCCTAAATTAATAAAAGCATTACAGCTGCCTTTTGGGTGTGACCTTCCTTTTTTATAACTCTTGCGTAAGATACRTTTGCTTAATGGCTGAGGTATGTAAATTAATCCTACACATTAATGTAAACACAATGCTGTGTTTACACAGCACACAATGTAAACACAAGCTGTGCTTAATTTTTCCAGTGCAACATGATTTCTTTCTCAGAAGCCTCTGGYGAAGGCAAAAGGATAAACACCTTTTAAGAATAAGACAGCAAAATGAAAAGGCATTGAAATATTTTATGTAAAAAAGAAACATTTTATATAACTTAACACAGAATAGAATTTAGTTCATCCTGTMCTTAAACAGGAGAGCCTAGTCTCGTTTGTTCATCGTGCTCTTCAGAAAGCAGTCTTATTGTCTCCCTCAACTTCTCTATTTCTTCTTCTTGCTGTCTCACCTTCAGYTGGAGGTTAGAAATAACCTGGAAATGAGAGTCAGTTTACTTYATTGCTAAGCAAGGATTAGAGCCTTTCTGACCTATTTCAATTGAGTTTGCTGCCCATTACAGCCACATGCAGCAGCACTCAGCTATTCTGCRTATTTGATACTACAACTTAATCCACAAAGCAGGGGGGCATGGAAAAGAAAAATTGTTAGAAGACTGCAGATATGACAAAAAGCTTTGAGAGCTTTTGAGAGGAATTTTTATAGCTCAGAACTGTAGAGTCTTCAGAAAGTTATCTATAGATAATGGACCAGCTATCATTGCAAAGACACCAGAAATAATACAGTGGCCTAAATACTGTACTCAGAAAAAGAGTCTTAATCACACATTGCTCTGAATTTCAAAGCCAAACAAARGCAATGCAGGCAGGGATACAAAGGGCATTTCCTTTTTGTGTTCCTTTCTGCTGTAAGGGTATAGCTCACCTGGTCTGTGGTGTGGAAGAGTTCACTGTCCCGAAGCTGAGCTGCTGTGGGRCGCTCTGTAGCTCTCTCACTGGTCAGGAGTTTCACATACTTGGCCTGAGTRGGCCATTTCTTGTAGAAAGTATGAGGAATTTGGCCAGTCCTTAAACGTGTAAGAACTTCMGTCCTTTCCATTTCTGTTCCAAATGGTTGGAAGAGTTCTAGCAGGATAACACCCATGCTGTACATGTCTGACTGTTAATGGGGTGAAAGGAAAGTTCTGGTGTAACTGGTATTTTAACTTAGGCTTCTTTTTCTCATAAAATCATAAACGTTTCACAACAATGAAGTTTCATGATGGCATGAAGAGTATCATTCTCAACATGATATTAAAAAAAAAAATTTTGCCTTAATAGTAAATGAGAAGGCAAAGTTGAAATCCATGTTTCAACAAAAACATTACGAGTAACAGCAAGAGGAATATATATGTATTTGCCTATTGAAAGGCTTGATTTATTCCTATTATGTATCATGTGTTAATAGAAAARAAGAAAAAACAAACCCAGAGTTYTSTACCTTGAAATCATAGTGAGATCCCTGCAGTTGTTCTGGTGAGGCATAGAGGCAGGTCCCCACTCCAGAAGTATGAGCCTGTCCTTTGAAAGGCAATGGACACTTAGCTAGTGCTGTTATTATTACAATTAATGMTTTTCTATTTAATTATTTTATAGAAACGAAACATTGAAGAACATTAAACTTTTTTTCTCTTACCATTTATCCTTTCTGTCTGAAACCTTTCTGTCTGCAACTGGTTTGCATCATCCCAAAGAAGATCTTTGCAGGCTAATCCAAAGTCACCTATTTTTACCTGCTGATCTGATCCGTGTAGAAAGATATTTCTAGGCTGCAAAAGAAGACAGAATACAATTTAAAAATATGTCTGTATAAAGAATTACGAAATTTCAGCTGTTTCAAAGTCTGTAAAATGCATGTTCCACAGGTATAATTATTTAACATTTTTGAGGAGTCAGAAAAAAATAGTCATTCCTGATACCAAATTATATATTAGCAACACCATTTGGGCCAGAAGACCACATACATAGAATAAGGATCTAGAAAAGAATTAAGCAAAACAGAAATCCCCCAAAATTTAGTGGAAAGATGAAATAACACGTTTTTCCCGCAACAGAAACTGGGAAATTTGCAGAACAGTAAACAGGAACAGGCAGGAGTGGACAGTAAATTTGACCAACTGATGTAGCAAAGAATGATGAGTATTATTGGGCTAGACATAATGCAAACCAAAAAAAAACCACTTTTCTGTATGATAAGCACAGCTACAACAGGCTACTGGGCTCTGGGAAGTTGCCTTGAAAAAAAGAGCCAAATTATGACAGACTTGAGAGCTCTGACTCTGCAAACTGACAGTTTTGAACTGTTATATTTATTTTGATTTTAGGACCACTAAGGGGGAGAAATGCAAGCATTATGTATCGAGGCAGAAACACCAACTTGCTCAGGTGGCAGAAAGGAAATAGTTGGTCTAGTAGAGTATAAAGGAGATGTGAATAGTTTAACAAGAGATGGGCAATCTCCATTCTTTTCCTTTCTTCAATGCAGATCAAATTTAGAAGTATGGTACTGCTATAGAGGAGATAATCTATTTTTCCACAYGTAACAACTAAATTCTTAAGCGTCCAGGTCATCTCAAATGGAACTATGAAGTTGCTTTCATTCTCCCATAATGGAAATTGTCTTTGTTTTCTTCAAGCTCAAATAATAATTGGATGGACTTACTTTAATGTCTCGATGCATCACTCCCATGCTGTGGATATAGCAAACTCCTTCTACCACCTCCTGGAAAATTTTCATTGTCCAGCCAACATCCACGAGATGATATGGACCTTRAAACAATGTAAATTATTTCAGCTAGTTTTACTGAGTTATGTACATTTATGGTGCTATGAYTTGCTGAATTTTGTGTATTTGTGCTGTGGAATGAATTTTTAATAGAATGAGCACATTTAACTATACATTTCCCCATGCTTCCCCCAATATAGTAATTTTGAATCAGCAAAAAGTCTGACACTAACATCACTAACATCAAAATTCCAAAAAGGAAAGTTTGGGGAACACAAATACATGCTCTCCTGCAAAGATTCTTCCAAACCCCATCTGATAGTTTTTTGCTTATCAATTGCACAAACCCTTTACTTTCATTTTAGTACCAAACTAGCATGAAAAATACAGTTCCAGATAAGATCATGCTAATTTATTGTTGCTTTACAATGARTAAGACAGTGATGAATCTTACTAGAAGTGTCCTCTGATCCCTTGTTGCATCTTTTATTACGGTCAACAATCCAATCCCACAGGGATATTTCACACAACTGCATTTGTATATGAAGCATTAAATGATACTCCACCTAAAAGAAAAATAATGGTTCATAATTTTGACACTGTAATATGAACAGTATTTCCTCAGTTATCTTCTTTAAAGCAAATAAACACAAATTTATTAAACAAAAAAACCCACCAAAAACAGGCACCAAAGGGACATCAAGTAAAGTATTAATAACGTACTGCACTCAAGAAGCAGATGCAGCAATGCTATTGAGTTTGAGGTTTTTCTTTGCTTGCTTCTCAAATTTTAACAACTGTTACATGATAAATGCTAACAAAACTGCCAGATACATACTCGAATATTCAAATTAGAGTTTGAAACCTTCTAGACATACTAAACAGAGGTTTATTCCAGCTTAATTAATATAAAATAGCAAAAAAATCAACCTCTTGATATGGAATTTTATGGAATCACAGAATTGTTTAGACTCCAAAAGACCTTTGAGTCCAACTGTTTATTCCCATGAATATGTAGCTCAGTTTCTGATAATGTACCAGTTCATCTGATAACCTGGACAACTCAAGCAGACACCTTTAAAACTGGGTTTCTTGCATGAGGGAACTCCCAAGTGATAGCAAAAGCTTGAAGTATTCCAGAGCTGGCTGTGTTACACAAAACATATCAGTGGTATGGCATAAATGACAACAAGGTTTCCAGAGCACAAGTGATTCCCTGCTCAAATCTGCTTTTATCTTTTTCTCATGTACTCCCACACTGCACAGGCACCACATGACACACCAAGACACTCCATCAGTAACAGCTGCTTTRGCCATCATTACTGAAAGCTACAGATTTTCAAGTTTAATGGGGCTGTGTCATGCAGCAGTAGCACTCTGAATTCATGCAGGTGCTTTGAAAGGACTCAAGATACCCAACACAGGGAAACTTTCTCACAGACACTGCATTTTCTCAGCTCCTCTGCTCAGCTTCCTTGTAATGATGTCACCCACTCAAGTAAAAATTGTCTGAACTTTTGGCTCTACTTGCAGTCATTTCATTCYTTTAAATTTATTGTTGTAAACCATTCCTTTCCTCCGTCCACTGAACTACTTTAAAAACATCACAAAATTAGACAGCAGTTAAAGATATTTAAAGAGAACTGTATTTACCTCAAACTCCCCACAGAGTGCTACCTCATTCTTGGAGCATTCTTCAGAGCAGGACTTGCTTTCAGAGGACTGACTCTCAGTGCTAGCATCTTGATTCACACTGGAATGAGGTTCCCATGTTGAATGATTTTCCACATCAACTGATAAACTGTTAACATTATTTACAAAGTCTCCTTGTAGTTCTATGGATAATTCRCATTTATTGGGTTTCACACACTCTTTACTATTGCTGTTTGTAAAGTCATTCCTTACATCCATATTCTGCACTGATTCTCTGCCCACATTTTCAAGACTGGTACTGTCACAGGACTGCTTTTCTTGTGAGGTAAGGTCAGCAAAGATAATTGAACTGCCACTTTCCACACTCTGGATGTGACAGTGATCACTGCAAATAATAAAGGGACAGAAATCCAAGTAAGTACACAGTTTCATACCATCTACTTGTGATACATCATACTGATTTTTTTTCCCCAATTGCAAACAGCTTTCCCAAGTAAGAGTTTAGCTGCTTCCCCACACAAAACTCCAGGATCCCATAATTGTCAGTGCAGCCTCCAGCTGCTCAAATACTTTCTCCCAGCAGGGATTTCTGACAGCACTCCCAGACAGCAGTGTCTCACACACACCTGAAGTTCAAGTCAAATATTTGTTACCACTGAGATTTGTAATACTCACTTGCTATTCTCTTGCTCCAAAGACAACGGCTGCAACTCCATTATTGTTTTACCTGTTGGGTGAAAAGATAAATATTTTATAAAATGAACAATGTATGCTCATTACTAAAAATTAGCATTTAAACTGCAGCACCTTACTGAACAATTACTGTGGATACACCTAGATTACTTCTATTGCTGCTGCTGCAAAAGGTGCTCATTAAAGTCTACTAAGAAGCTATCCTAATATGTATTTAATTTCTCTTTAAATGAAAATAGATGTTGCTCAAAGTCACTAAAAGGGTTGTACTGGGCTCTCTTAAATATTTCTTTAGACTACACCTTTAAGTCAATCTGTTCAAAGGGTTAACAGTGTATAGGGTAATACCATTAAGTAATAGATAAGTTATTTGGTAAGGAGAGATTGAGTGCACAGAGGGACCTGGTGATCACCTCTAACTTCCCTTTCCTTTAATTCTTTTAAGGAGGTGAAAAAAATAGTTCTATTATCAGGGAGGYAATACTCTCCTGCAAATAAGAGTACAGAGATTGTAAGGTGAGAGCAAGAATTGCACAACGAGCCGTACTTTCCTTTTGGATGTACTGCTTGAACTTGTTCCATCCAAGCAGTGTGATAGCCAACAATATTGGGATGCTGCAGCCCAGCCAGCACCTTSACTTCTCGGAGCACCTAAAAAGACCAAAATAATCCCACTGTGACAACCCTTTATTCTGAGTGCTTAATAAACACGAAACATAACAAAAAATAAGTTTCTTGCAGAGAAAGAACAGATAAAATTGTCACAGTAACAGAAAATTTGAAAGCTTTAAAACAAATTGATTTTCATGACTGCAGAGATGATCGAATTCAAGTAATTCATATGGGTTTTTTAATGGATTTAAATACCTCTCATTTACTTTTTTCTACCACGTATTGATAAGGTCAAATCTTTAGAAACTAGAATGCATTAAAAGTGATATTGTTTTGGGAAATATTAACTACATTAATAAATTAGAACAGAATAAGCTACAGCCAACAAGGAGCTAAAACAGGGACGAAACACAGGAGGAATACCTTCATGCAATCTCTTCTTGTAGCCTTCTTAATTTTGATTTTTTTAATAGCGTAGAACTGACCATCTAACTTGTTTCTGACCTGAAAGCAATTGCAATGGAGAAAATTAGGTGCTAATGTGCTTAGATTAACTAAATCCTCTAAAATTTTATTTCTGCACCCCATTCACATGGAACATCACCTGCCTCAGAAAATGAAACTGGGAGCAGGCCCCCACAGTCAAAGAAAGGGACACTGATAGGTCCTGATAACTGCTTGAACAGGTTCTCAATGAATGTGAGACCACACTCTGTCACTTCCACATGGCACATCTCTCATGGGGAACCTTGGGCTGGCCATACACTACAAGTACTTGAACTGCCCAAGCTAATGTTGAACTGTATTTTGTTCAAATTGAGGCTCATTTTTTTTCAAACAGCCACAACTAAAGCATTGGAGGTGCAGATCAATTAGTTCTGAGGCTGTTCAAAGTCAATATAACACAGTATTTCACATGTGAAATATGGAGTTTTCATTCACCCTAAAAGGATACACACAAAGGAAAGCATCTAATATATCCTGACAAACAGAAAACTAATCACAACTGAGCAGCTTTTGAAACGAAACACCAACTTTTTTCTAAGAGACAGATATGCACCTCTTCTATTCAAAAAACATTTGGCAGTGGAGCCAAAACAGTAACTCCAAGTTCYAAAGAAAAGCTAGATCTAAACAGATTAAAGGTGAGGTAGAGAATACCTTGTACACTTTGCCATATCCTCCTCTTCCCAGCCTCGCAACCTCTTCAAATTCATTCAAGTATCGTGAAGTCTGTGCTTCAAAGAGAATTTCTTTTTCCCTAATAAAAAAAAAAAATAGGCTGAATTAAATTACGACTTACAAGTAAGATAAAGCTGCACACATTCTAAAATACTATTCATGTTGTGAAAAGAAGAAAGTACTTTGACATTGCCACCCTTTACMAGCCTGAGTTTCAGTGAATACTGAAAACCAGCAGAGCATGCTGCTCTGCTACAAATCCAAACTCAGTTTTAACAGAAGTATTCAGATTGTTTCTCTTACACTGATGCCTGGCAAGTCTTGTTTTCCTGAACAGTGGTACTGAGTGCAAGAGTTGTACTGAAGAATGAATKTTCACCACATCATTTTGACAATTCAGAGAAATTTTTACTTTTTTYCCCCTTATATTTTAGAGCCAAAATATGAAATGTAGTATTGATTAAATTCAAAGTGGAGCACAGAACTTTAGGGAAAGAGTTTAGTATTTCTACATGCTTTGAATACATACCCAATTGCATGAGACTCTCCGTTATCAAGTTCCTACAAAACAACAAAATCCAATATAAAGACATGCCATATGAAAAGAGTAACAGGTCTACAACCACTGGGCACAGACAGCTTAATCAAAACAAAAACTGCAACATTCTTAGAAGAAAATGAGTTTACTGACAGCCACTTGCATGCTGCAGAGAGCTTCACCAAATTAAAGTATTATTATCCCAGTGGTAATCTGTTAACATTTCTGCTGGAGAGATTACTGCCCTTTTCGAGTTCTGTTGGCAAACAGGATAAAAGGAGGGTTCTAAAATGTGCTTAAAACAGAATTAACTAGCTCAGTTCAAGCAACAAGATAAGCAAATGGGTGTTGACTCAGCCTGAAGCACAAGTACACAAAATACACCCTCCACTAATGTAAATATAAGGGTGTTAACATAACCAACAGTTTAGAGCTGAAAATGGATGTGTCCATTGTCAAAAAAAGAGGCAGCAATACTTAAAACATCTTGCCTTTGTTTATAAACATTTTAACTTGGTTTTTTATTATTATTTAGTAAGATACAAAACATTGATGGCTTCAAAAACTGGTTTGCACCTATAGAACCAGAGCATGCCATCCCAAACATCTAAAGAGTTATTCTGTATAATTATTAAAAAGGCCCAATCCAGTATTAAAAAAAAAAACACAAATAAAAGCTCCTTACTGCAGAGGCTGCCAAAGACATGTAACAAAGCTTACCCCGTTAAGTATTTGTTGATTAGCTGCTTTCATCAGTTCAGTAATGGCTCTGTTGTGCTGCAGTCTTACAGTACTAAATTCATCACAGAAGGCAAAAGGGGAGAGCAACCCTGTCCTTGTGAAAGCCTGACGAAGAACTGCACAAAGAACAGAGAAAGCTCAGAGAAATRTTAAATAAAGCCAGCCAATAAGATCATATAAACACTTTCTAAACAAGAAAGCCTATTTGAAAGATAACACATCTGCAAAACTGAGCAGTCCCTCTCACCCTAATGCTGCTCCCATACTCTTAGCAATTAAAACTAATGAAATCCAAACTAGAGCTGCTCCATGGGAATCCCTTTGCATAATTGTTATTTGCCATGCCCTTCAGGGTCACAACTGCATCTCCTTCACACCTCAGCAGATGAATTACACAAACATCCACCCATTCACTTACATTTTACTTTTGGACTTATTTTGATCTGTGAAAAATTGAAAGCCGGTTCACAATTGTGAGGATGCATTTGTAACCAAAAGTGGTAATGTCAACATTTTCTAATTCATATCCAAACCCACACATTTGTGCACATACTCATAATAAAGAATGAAGTCAATTCCTTCCACCACCTCCCCAAGCACTTTATCTTTCTCGGTTGGAGTAAAGTAACTATGCCAAACAAAAACTAATAAATRCTGGAGATGGGAGCATCTGTGATGTTATAAAGGGCATAAATTTWAGCTATGAACAACATACTAGATTTTATTTTCTACAGTCATGTATAGTAAGGACAAAACCCTTGGATATTGATCTCGAATACACTAAGTATATACCTAAATGCACAAAATACCCACGATAAATCACATACCAATAAGGTTTTTTAAATGTAATACTTCACACTTAAAAATGCAAACTCCCTGAATGAAATCAAAAGGCTTTAGGGCAAAATAAAGGACTTAYAGAGGAATTTACTCTGATTTTCATGTGATTTTATTTTGAAAGATTTAGTGAAGGCTATACTACAGCWATTTCTTGATATTCTACCTGCATTTTTAGATCACATTTAACAGTTATATAATTTACCCTGCTGCCCTTCTCATAATCCAACTCTCATGTACTAGCTGAAACAGCACTGTCTGATCCTTACATCTACAGCAATATACTGCTACTGTTTTCAAAAATAAGACAAGTTGTCATTGCCAATTTAGTTGACTCAAGGTATTCATCTTCTTCACAGAATTACTCTTGTCCCAGCGGGATCAAACCTACAGCTTTGTATTGATATTACACTGTAACTCTGCACAGAAGGGTCTGGTAAATATTGCAGGAAGGCARTTTAAGAGACAGGAATGAAAGCCTCTTACTAACTTCGGAACAAACACCTGGAATGAACGGGGTTGTGCGTGTACATGTGGCAGAGATGCTCCAGCAGCGACACGAGCAGCAGCTGATTTTGGATGGTCGAAGTGAACTTCACAAATTTTTGCGACCCGTTTGCAACTCGCAGCTCCGCCGGCACATCCGATTCTGCAAGAGGACAGTCAGACGAATGAACTTAGGTCTCAGTACACGCCTATTTACCTAAACATCAAAACAACACAGAACCCACACGGCTTCACCACAACCCCGGCTCACAAAGAGGCACCACGCGAGCTGCCACTGAGGGAGCAGCTTTGACGCTAATTAGGAACACAATTAATTTTTTTAAGTGTGCACGGAAAGCAGCTATCCGGGTGCCCGAGGCAGGAGGGGCTCCCACAGCGGCCTCAGGGCAGGGCTCTGCCAGGGCCTGCCCGCTCTTGCATCACCCCCGGGCCGCGGGGAAGGAAAGAAAGGGGAAGGCGGCGGTTCTACCGTCCTTTCCTCCCTACCGCAGCCCGGAGAGAGGGGAAACATCCCGCTCGCCCACAGGGCAGCCCCGGCCCCGCTTACCGTCAAAGCGCGGCTCGGGGCCCTCCTCAGGGAACTCGATGGCGGGCGGTGGCGAGCGCAGGCCCGCAGCCCGCCCGGGCCCCCACATGCCGGGCTSCCCTCCGCTCCGGCCCGCGGGGCCTGCCCGCCTCCCCGTGGGCGGCTCCGGGGGCCGGGCCAGCGTTTATGGCCGCTCTTTGAGCGCCGAGCGATAAAGCATGAACCGGAGGGATAAAGCCGATAGGGAAACCTTCGGCCCGGGAGGCGGGGACGGGAGGGCAGGGGCTCGCAGTGAAGGTCCGCGGCGGGGAGCGGAGAGTSCCCTCCCCTCCCCTCGGCACGGGGACCGGCACAGCCGCAGCCCGCGAGAGCCCCGCGCCCGGCCCGGGGGTCGCCGAGCCCCCTCTAGCGGCTCCCGGCCGCGGCACAGGGGCGGTGCCGGTCCCCGTGTGACCCGGAGGCGCTCGCTGCTCCCCCCGCCGCCGCCGCCGCCTCCTCTCCTCCCCCCGCCCGCCCGCCTGCCCGGCCGGCGCCGGGCCCCGGATGCAAGAGGCCGGCGGAGGGACGTCATTGTTCCCCGACGGACTGTAACAGTAGGCGGAGCGGGCCGGGCTGAGGCGGGGGCTGCGGCGAGGGGGACCCGGCAGCGCCGAGTCAAGCGGGGCCGAGCCAGGTAATGGGGCTGGGGGGAAGCGCCGGGCCCGGCGGCGGCCCCGGCACAGCCCGGCGGCACCGCGTGCGGCTCCCGCCTGGAAATCAATGGGCCGGGGGGAGGGGCCGGCCCGGGAAAGGGAAGGGAAAGCGACCGGCGGGAGCAGCCGGCTCAGCCCAGCCCAGCCCACGGGGCCGGGGCGCGGGCCGGGCGCTCGGCCGCTGCCCTCCTGGCTGGCGGGCAGCCGGAGGGGGTGGGACCCCCGGGCGGGGCGGGGCGCCGTCCCCAGCACGCGGCGGAGGGACCCAGCCCCGCCGCCGCCACCACCCCCTGGGCCGGCGGGACCGGCCCCCTCCCGGCGCGGCGGTGCCTCCGCGCCCGCCCTCTCCGTTACGCGCCGGGGTCCCGCCGGCGCCGCTTCTCCTTTTCCTACTCCTGCCGCTGTCGGCGTGGGGGACTCGGCGCGGCTCCCCCGCGTCCCGGTGCCGGCCGCAGGGCGGTCAGGACGCCCCGGCCCCGGTCCCGCGGCGGGAGCGGCGCTCTGCCCCGCCTCACCCCGCGTTGTTCCCGCTCGGCGCGGCGGCGCTGACTCCCGCGGCCCCTCCGCCCCGTGCCCGGGGGGCTCCGCGCTCGGTTCGCCGCCCCCCCTCCCGCGTTGCCATGGGCACGGAKCCGCCGTTGGGCGCCGCCGCCGCGGTCCTGCCCCCGGGCCGGGATGGGACGCGGGCCCGGACAGGTCAGCACGGGGCCGGGAGGCGGAGGCGGCCCGGCACGGCACGGCACGGCACGGGCGGGGAGGCGCGGGGCTGAGGGGCCCGGCGCTGTGCGGGTTAGCGGAAGAAGGGCGAGGCGAGGGCTCCCTCAGGGCCGGTGCCCGGCCCCCTCGCCGCGTGTGGGGTGGGTTTTGTTTTGTGTGTGTCCGGGCTCTTGCCGCGCTGAGCGCGGACATGTTGCGTGCGGTGCCCGTCCCTGCCCCTCCCCGCGGCCTTTCGCTGCCGGTGYCTGAGCGGTTTTGGCTCGGCGGGAGCGCCGGGGAAGGCAGGCAGAGCGGGGGAAGCCGGCTTGGCGGCACCTTGGCGGTTCGGTTGTGAGCGGGCTCCGCGGCTCGGGGCCGCCCGGAGCGAGGCGCTCGCGGGCGCTCGCAGCGCCGGGCTCGGTCCCGCCACAAGCAACGGCCCCGGGACGGGACGGGACGGGACGGGGAGCTCGGAGCCGTGCCCGCCCAGCGCTCCGGCCGCCTGCTCACCCACGGTAAACTCATTAATTACTTTCGCCTCTGCTGCCTTKCATTTTGGACCGAAAGTAAAAGCAGCGCGGGGTGTGTGTTTGTGTTGCGCACTGCCCCGGGTTGTTTTCGCTCCCGGTGCGCTCCGTGCCTTAGCGGGGTGATTCTGCCTGGGTTTTTGCTGGAGTAGTTTCCTCCCGCTTCTTGTTTGTGCCTCGGTGTTGCCGCTCTTGTTTTTTCACAGTCGCTGCTGGAAATGTTTGGTTTGTACTGAGATAAAGGCGCARTCCTACTCCCTGGCTGAGCGCGGTTCTGTGAGCGGGATCTTGTGTAAAACCATCCTSAGCTGTGATTTATTGTATGCAAAGCGGAGACCAAACATAAATATTTAGATCCGAGTCGTAACTCATGTGTGTTGTGATGAGASTGCGAAAAAGAATCTAAACAACGCTGATGCCACACTCCAAATGGGAGGAAAGCAACTGTTTGTTCTGTTTTACTCGTCAATATTATACTGGGAGAAGTCTGTTATGGGAATAGCACAGGGAAAAAACGCTCAATACACATGGCAATGTGAATTTATGTTCAGCGGTGGTGCAGGAACAGAATCTGTATGTACGTTGAACAGTGGGAGAGGAAAAATATCCACCTTTGTAAATTTTGTGCTACTTCGTCAGAGATATTATATCCAAATTAACTACATTGACATTTTGAACAAGTGGTGGTTCTGAGTTATTCTTGTCATCCACTGATATTTGCTGGTGTATAATGTTTGAAATCTGGTRATGTGTTGTTCAGTTGTTAAAAATATATTTTAAAATACATGAGGCTTCCCTCATTGGTCAATACAAGGCCAAAGCTTTTTTGTGATAATATTCTTCTGTTTGCTTTTCACTGCAGTCTTGATCCTGGTTTTTGTCCTGCAAATAAGTTTTAAATATGATGTTGAAACCCCTTCCCTTTCTATCAGAAAAAGGAGATGTCACGGGTATCTGCAGTTTGAAGTCTGGATCTTACCTGAAAATCACTAAGCCCAAGAACTCTCATCTTAGTCTTTCAAATGGACAAAGATGTCTTAATTTTTCGGTAAAATGAGTGAATTTTCCTTTTTTTTTTTTTTTTTTTTTTTTTTTTTTTTTTTTAATATGTTATCTCCAGTATGAAAAGTGTTTACAGAGTAGATTTTAAATTTAAAATTTACAGGGGAAAAAAATCTAATTAAAGGGTTTGCACATAATATGCATGTTGCAGGACTAGAAGTTCTCCCATTTACTGTGCTTTGTTTRATCTACCTGAAGTTTTACCATTAGCAATGGAGTTGTGCCATCAATCTGAAACTGCTTCATGCTTTGTTCTCTCAATTATTTCAATATTACAAAGCAGGTTATAYTTTAAACCCTCAGTTAAGTTTATGGTTTTCCTGAACTTATAAAGGCCCTATAGAATACAATAGTAGTAAAAAAATTACATATAGGAGTTGATAAATGATCCTGTAATTATTCAGCAGTTTACTGTGCACAAACAATTGCACATATTTGAAGATATACCATCTTGAAGCATAATCAGCATTTTGTAAAGGACTTTATCAATTGTTGCTTTTATTCTTGAGGGCTGAGGATTTGTTTTGCTTTCTTTTGCCTTCATCATTTACTTTTTATAGCTTACATTCCCCTTCTGTTTTTCCCTGGCAAAACAACTTTACATAAGTAGAACTGAAAAAGATGCTTCTTAATTCAACTTATTGGTTGATAAGTAATCATTTTAAATGTGATGGGTGCAAAATACCAGCAGTGCTGCCCAAGTTGTATCTGAACAAATACTTCTCAGAAGGGCAGAAGAAACCCTGGTGGAAATAAATAAATTTGTGAGAGTTTTTTTGCTCTTTTTTCCCAAGATTTCTCAGAGCTATATCCCATCCTCTGTGTTATCAGGGGTTTGTGGTTCCCAGGAGTGACAACTCCTCCTGGATCCCAACAGTCCAGCACTTGATTGTGCCACTGCTCACAGCTTCTTTTAAGAAATTGGAAATTATAGGGGTTTAAAATCCGTGAAAGTGTAAGAAATGCCATCAGTCATTAGCTCAGCAGAGGTTAAAAGCAGTATCAATACAGTTTTGATGGAAAATTCCACTTTGTGTGTTTAGTTGTGTGCTGGGTAGAATTTTATTTTGAGTTTTGGGGGTTTGTTTGTAATCATTTTTAGCTGTTCAGTTTTTTGAGGCTAAAAGTGACAGGATTTCTCTTAGTCTTTCCTTTCTGGAATGCTCCTGGACATTCTTATACCAAACAGACCTTTTGCCTTGTTGCAGATATGAACGATGACCATAGTTAACAAGCCAAAATCTTCAAAGTCTAAAAAATCTTCCTCGAGACGCTCTGACAAATCTATGAAACCCCGTGGTAAAAAAATGACTTCACGCACTGCAAGTTTGGGCCGGGTCCCTCCTACAGAAGATGCCAACAAAGTCTCTGTGGACAAAGGTCCTGGGGGGCATATTTATTGTAGATCATCTCAAAAATCAAAGCCTTTTGCCCAAAGAGATCTAGGTAAGTGTCTTTTGTCCCCCCGCTCCTTTTTCTTCAAAACAAAACCAAAGTAAAAGCAGATTTTGGTTGTTGCACTTGCTATAAAGTGGGACTACAACAAATCAAGAGTTCAGCCATAAAATTCAATTTTGTGCATCCCCTAAAGATGCAGGGTTGCAAAACTTGGATTTATCTATTTGCAATTGATTTATGAAGTATTTTTTATTTATTTATAATCAAATAAGTGGAGTTTGTCATAATACACAGGTGAACCTAGGCCTCTTCTGTTCTGGGGAGAAAAAAACATTTTACCATTTATATTCATGGCTTTCATTGTTCACAAATCTTTGAATCATAACTCTGTTTTCTGTAGGGTTACTTTTGGTGCTGCTTACTTGTTTTTCTGAGTTCTTACTGCATAAGCACAGGTTTAAGTTTATAGTTTAAGTTAAAATAAGGAAAAAACACAGTCGTTTAATTAATAAAGGGATTAAAGGTATAAAGAAACCAGGTACTAAATCAGAGTGGTAGTTTGTGTTGCATTCAAGAATTAAAGCAGATCAATAAATTATTGTCCCAAGCAGTGTTGTTGACCAGCAAATTCCCATGGCAGTGTTAAATCTGTGTATCATGTGTGCTGTGTTTTGGAGTAGAGCTGCTTCTTCAGGATGCTCCTGCAAAATCCTACATTTAAATCCCCTCTTTAACCCAAAACCAGTACAACTCCYTTTAAAAAAGGCAATTTTCTTGCAGCTGTTAATGATGGGATTGCTCCGCCACAAAGAATTCTTTTTCCACCCGAGAAAATCTGTATGGATTGGCAGCAAACACAAAGTGTTGGAGTTGGACTGCAAAACCTGGGCAACACTTGTTTCCTTAATTCCACCCTCCAGTGTCTGACCTACACCCCTCCTCTTGCCAACTACATGCTTTCACTTGAGCACACCAAGTCATGTGAGTATTTCTAACATTATAAATCTGTTGGACAGCTCCAGAGGTAAAAAAAAAACAAAAAACAAAGTGAAGAAAATTTTTAGTTGTTCTGTTTTGTCTGTAGAAGGAGGTTTTGAATGTGCTCTTAAAGGTCTTTTCCAACCTGAGTGGTTCTGTGATTCTCCTGCCAGGAGAATCAGAATTATAGGAGGCATATAAAGTGAATTTGTTAATTTAATGTGCCACGGTAAAACTTAAAAGATGATTCTTTGCTTCATGTGAATAATAAAGGACATTGTAAAGTAAGGCATTTGATGAACGTTTGGCATTTGGGTTTGCTGCAGGTAGAAAGGTGATAAAATTTAGGATGTTGATGTTGAAGACTCTGAGTGTTCACAGCCTAATACTGTGATAAATTAYGTGTTCAGTGTTGACCCATTAAAAATCCCAAATGCTCTAGAAAGTGCTACAGATTTATCTCTTAGGAGCTTGAATAGAAATTTAGAGGGACGGTGTTAAAATTCAGGCTGATTTTCTTCTACATAATTAAGTTTGTATTTTTTGAACCCTAGAATCTCTGTTCTTTGAATTTTGGTTTTCTACTTAAATTTGTTTAAGCCTAGGGGAGCTTCTTTTTATATCCATAAATGTGATTCTTTCCCAAGGCCACTGTGTGCTTTCTAGTCTGGTTTCTTAATACTTATTCCTAGAAATTTGATTGTRTTTTGTTCCCAWATATAAAAATTWCTTCARTTTAGAATCAYTGAMYCTTCCAAATGATTTTGTTCCATTCTTCTGCCATGGGCACCTTCCCCTGGGAGTGTTCCCAGCCAGGTCAGATGGGGCTTTGAGTTTGTGATTTTCTGAGTTTTATTCTGTWCAGTTCTGCATAAGAAAATGCCACAAAACTGTTGGGATATTGCCACCTTAGGAGCAGGGAATGCAGCATGGACAGTGGACACTGCACCCACAATTCAAATTGTTGTTATTTTGGGGTTATTTATTCAGCAATGTGTATTTTCCTAGATCTGAATGCTTTTTTCTTTCACTCTCTAGGTCACGTAGAAGGATTCTGTATGATGTGCACAATGGAAAGTCACATCAACCAGGTCCTGTGTTGCTCCAATAATGCCATCAAACCCACATCTGTTATCAATGGCCTTAAAAGTAAGTTTGATACAGCTTCATTTTTAATTTTGTTCATTTTTCAAAGAGTTATTTGATGCATGTAAATAATTTTGRTACTTTAGAAATGCATGTTTTCTTTCATTCTATAAGAAATAAATAAATAATAACTTTCTTATTTATTAGGAATAGGAAAACATTTCCATTTTGGCAGTCAAGAGGATGCACATGAATTCTTATGCTTCACTGTTGATGCTTTACAGAAAGCTTGCTTGAATGGAAGCACCAAGTAAGCATAAACTAATTCAATTTAAATGTTTCCTAGCCCCTCTTACTATCATTTTTTACTATCATTAGTTTACTTTATTTACTATAAATTACTGTGTTTACTATAAATTACTATTTATAAATACTGTGTTTACTATCATGAATTAAAATGTATGTCCTTGGTTTTCATAAAACCAAAAATTGTTTGAGGAGTTAACTCTGTGCTTTCAGTTTTCTGAGGTCTGACTCTTGATTTATTTCCAGATTAGACAGATCTTCTCAAGCCACCACACTGATTTATCAAATATTTGGAGGATATCTGAGATCTCGAGGTACTTTTTAAAAAGAATTTACCATCTTTTGAACTGATCTATGTCTTTTTGTCTGTCTGTAGCTTGATTAAAGTAATGTGTATTAGTAATTTAACTTGGTGCAGTTAGTCAAATGTTTAATATTTGTATTTTGATTCCAGTAAARTGCTTGAACTGCAAAGCAGTGTCGGACACGTTTGAGCCATTTCTCGATGTTACTTTGGATATAAAGGTGAGGTTGAGCAGGGGTTGAGATGTGTAAAGGCTTGTAGAGCTTTATAAAATAAATTAATTTTGCTTAAAAACATTCACTGTTGAACAAAAGAGCTTGGGTGTGGATTGGACTTYGTTGCTCTGTGGAAKCCATGGAAATGYTCTCYGTGTTTGGATTGGATTTAAGCTGGAAAAATAATAATTATGTCTACACAAACAATGATACAATCATACTTCTCAATTATTCTACTTCAAYATACATCTATTGTTAGACTGATGGGTTTGATTGTTCTCATTATTGATGCCAAAGCACACCACAGCTACTGTCTGGCACTGCAAAATTTATTTATTTTGAAGGAGGTTCATTTTCAAATGAGGTAAATGCTCAATGAACTCTGTTTCTGTCTGCTCCTTCACGGGGTTTGCTGCTCAGTGCATGTAAATGTTTGAGATTTTGCATTTTGGTGACTTTGCTCTATTTCTCACTCACRCAGGCAGTTACATCTGTCACCAGAGCTCTAGAACAATTTGTGAAACCAGAACAACTGGAYGGTGAAAACAGCTATAAATGTAGCAAGTAAGATTAATTTATTTATTAAATATTAATGAATTAAGTTATTAATTACCCCTTAGGAGGAGATGTGTTCAGTGCTGGGCTGGGAGGATCCCTCATCTCTTGGCTTTGGGTAGCAATAAGACACCCATGGTTTGCTGTTCCATTTTATTTGTTTACACATCAGTTTGGAGATCTGGGCCTTGTATTTTGCCATCACAGTTTGAGAGGAGGCTGTTCAATTTTCTGTTAAATTCTTTCTGTTAATTAGCTCTAGGCAGTATTTTTCCTGGCAATGTARAGTGACTTGTTTCAGTCTTTGTGCTGGTGGTTGTTTCAGGACTAACTCTGCACCTCCTTTGAGTGTGCAACAAACAAAATGAACAATTTTTAGAAGGAYTGCAGAGGGTTTCACTGTCTTTCCAGGCAATCTCAGTACAAGAAAACTCAATATTGTCCAATTCTGCCTCTGCAGAATGAATGAGTGATGCCTTCCAGTGATTTTTTTTTTTACGTTTTTGGCATAAGTAAGATACATATTCAGACATTTATTTGGGTATCAAGAGATGATGTCCTAAATCCTTTAGTCTTTGTTGTGCAGAGCTGTCCTCTTGTATCCTGCCATCTTCTCTATTAACAAASCTGAAATGCAGTTTATGGGTTTAGGAAAGGTCTAACATCTTACACAAGCAAATATCATTCAAGTGAGTGAAAAAGGAAAACTTGTTTGACTTCTGGGTGGGAAAGAATATATTTGTTAAAAATCTATCTGTGCTTGTTTTGAAGGTGTAAAAAGATGGTTCCAGCATCAAAAAGATACACAATACATCGCTCTTCCAATGTTCTCACAATATCACTGAAAAGATTTGCAAATTTTACCGGTGGAAAGATCAACAAGGTATCTTTACAGCCTGAATGCTRCTTTATTTTCTTGGAATGGGACATTACCCAAAGATGAATACTCACTTTAAATTTATTCACATTTTCAGACTGTAGCTGTAGTGTAAGAGCAGTCGATATAACAACTTAGTTGTGGCTGCTTCTTTCCTTTTTAATAGTGATACATTTCCTGTGTGCCCATAAGGACATACCTTTATACCTTATGTAGAAAATAGCTCCCTGCAGCTTAAATTATTAAATGTTTCTGAGAAAAATAATTATAAAATTAATTGAAATATGTATTTGTATAGTCCTAGTGTGTGTTTTTAGAAGTTTTTTTCAGGCTATTCCATGAAATATTTCAGGATACCTTTTGAATCTTCTTTACCTTTGTTTAGGATGTAAAATACCCTGAATATTTGGATCTTCGAGCCTACATGTCCCAATCCATTGGAGAACCCCTCATCTATGCTTTATATGCAGTTCTTGTCCATAGTGGCTTCAACTGTAATGCTGGACACTATCTCTGCTTCATAAAGGTAACTGAGCTCACTTCCAGCAGATAAATCTGGGCTGGCAAAGAAATGAAATGTTCCTGGTAAGCACTGCTTTTAGGGGCAGGATTGCACCATGTGCTCTGTTTGCTCTGTTGTGGAATGCTTTGTTCTGCAGGGCTCTATCTGTGCTGTCCTTTGGAACTCTGAGTTCATCTGAAGGTGTTGTGTCTTTGTTTGCAGGCTGGCAATGGACTTTGGTACCGAATGAATGATGCCTCTGTAGAGCTTTCTGATATCAAAACAGTTCTCAATCAGCAAGCTTATGTGCTTTTTTATATCAGGTAATAACAAACACCAAATGTGCTCAGAATGTTTTTACTATCAAGTTGCTGATATTTTTCTCCTTTTCAAATCTTTTTCTTTTCACCAGGAAAATGCTGTTTGCTATTATTTGTATATTGCTGTCAAAGTGGAAATTACCCATATGTTTTATTACTTTTCATTGCTTGACTTTAACTTCTGCAGTTGGGTACACTGCTTTAGATCTGCTCTGGAGTAAACTCTTTTCAGTTTAGAAAAGAGGAGCTGTGGCTGCTCTTTCCTTTTTCCTTACCCAGCTGTGATGGGGTAAGGCTAGATCCCTGCTCTGGGAGGACAGTCCTTGTAGGAAGGCTGTTACCTGATCTTCAGTTTGTAGTCTTGGCTGAATTTTGTGTCATACACACCGTTTGTGTGAGGTGATAGGGTGGGGTTTAACCTGGGAATAGGCTGGAAGGGAAACGCTGAGCTGAGCTGAGTTGAGCTGAGTTGAGCTGAGCTAAAATGAGCCGAGCTGAGCTAAAATGAGCCGAGCTGAGCTAAAATGAGCCGAGCTGAGCTAAACTGAGCCGAGCTGAGCTAAAATGAGCTGAGCCAAGCTGAGCTGCTCCAAGCTGAGCTGAGCCGAGCTGAACCAAGCTGAACCGAGCCGAGCTGAGCCAAGCCGAGCCCAGCTGAGCCGAGCTGATCCAAGCCGAGCCCAGCTGATCCAAGCTGAGCTGAGCTAAGCCGAGCTTACCCAACCCTTGTCTCCGCAGGCGCTATGACCTGACGCTGGGAGAGCGCGCGTTCTACCTGCCCGCCCCGTCCTACCCGCGCTCCTTCCTGGGCCAGCGCGGCGCCAGCAGCAAACAGCCCTTCATGGGACCACGGCTGCCTCCCCACATGATCAAGGTAAGGGACAGGGAACTGCTCCAAASTATCTGAGCTTTGGGCTGGGCTTAATAAAACTCTTTGTGTTTTATTTTCCTTTCCCCACTGCAGGTTTCKTCCCAGCCCTGATGCTGGAGCCAGAGTTATTCAAACACTGGCTGCTCCTAAATTATGCAGCCATGCTGCTTTGTTACTTTATTCTTCTCAGTCAGCTTTCAAAAGSCCTCAGAACTATATTCTTGAGACAATTTGTCTGTTAATACCCAAATAATACAAATTTTAAAGGTAAATATGTGCCCTGCCCTGATCAGTGTCACTTTAGTTGAGGCAGTGATAGAAAATGAATTGTCTTGTTCCTGACCAGAAGGATTATTSCAGTGTTGTCAGGGAATGTTTAAAGAGGAAAATAAATATTTTTRGAATAGTTTTAGTCGGTGTTGTTTGGGTGGGTGTCAAAACTGCTCATTTGATGCCAAAGGCAGTAATTACAAACACTTGTTGGATTTGCATTTATATTGAAAGGGGGTGAGGTTTCTTCTTAGGTGTTGAGGCAATCTGTAGAACTATTTAACACAAGAATTTCTGTTGTAAAACCTCCAATGCTGCATGTTTGAACATATCCATCTTCCACTCCCTTCTAACCCAGAGTTCCAGTCGGTTAAATGGCAATGGCCCCCTGAAGGAGGACTCCAGCCCGGTGGGAGTTGCGGTGAAGAGGCCGAGCTCAGCTCCCCCCACGGCGTGTGTGCAGAGCTGGGCCATGTCCCGGCCGGCGCTGGCAGAGCCCTCCAAAGCGCAGAAAATCACCATCAGCATCCACAACAAGCTGCCCCCGCGGGCCAGCGCGGCCGAGTGTCCCAGCAGTGCCGGGGACGAGCAGCTCAAGGGTCCCTCAGCCACCATCACCACCCCCTGTGCAGCAGATCCTACCTCAAACCTCRCCCCAGCGCCCGCCTCTGCCAGCATCCCCAAACAGGAGCATCCCCCCGAAATCCTGCTGGAGCCTGCAGTGAATGGAACCCCCAAACTGTGCCCCGAGAACGCGCTCCCCTACACGGCAGAACCCGCAGGAAAAGCAGAGGAAACCAAGAATTTGTTCAAAAGGAACTGCAGCGTCATCTCCTCCAACGGGATCGTGATGGGGAAGGTGGTTCGGACCCTGCACAACTCCCACTCGTCCTTTCAGAGTGCTGAAGAGAGATCCCAGCACGAGCTGCCAAAAATGGATTCACTAAATGGTGCTATTAGTTTAGATAATGAATATAAAGAAAATGGACTCAAACTTGATGATTCCACTTGCCAAGTCCAACCTGTTAAAGCTTCTGAGATTTTCTTCTCTAAAGCAAATGGAGTGCTTGAAACGGTGAGTTACATTTGTTCATCTGGCCTTTCTCATGGGGTATTTTCAGTTTTCTTGAGCTGCATCTTGAAATACCAGAAAACAGCACAGATTTCATTCTGACACTCAGTGCTGTTATCCCATTGAATCTGCAGAGCTTAGCTGGCATGAGAAATGTCAACATGAGAGAAGTTCAGGGAGATAATATGTCACAAGTTTCAAAAAATACATTTTTTGGGGGAAGGGTGATGAAGTGTAAAGTGGGAATAGTGCAGGTAACTCAGTGTGATCTTTTTTAACATCTAACATTAGAGGTTTGTCAGCAGTCATTTTCTATTAAAAATACCACCTTTTTCTGTTTATTAACTTCTGTGTTTTAATTGTAGATGCCTAAAGCTTTGTCACCAGATCCTCAAGGTATCCTAGAATCCCTTACATACAGCTTGGCAGAGGAAAAAAGGTAAAATGAGTGCACTGTGATTAAAACAAGATTTTGTGCAAGTTTACTGCTGTTTTACCCATCTACTAACACTGAGTAAGAGATTGACATCAGTGCAGAGAATCCCACACTGTATTTGGATCTGTTACTGCAAACATCAGCACTGGGCACACCTTTCTCTGCTACTAAATACAGGCAGATGCCTCCTGGATGTTTTTCACAGGATGTTTTTACGTTTTTCTCTCATTGTCTGGAATACTTTCTCTATTCCTCTTTTCCTTTTTTGCATCCTGGGATGACTGAYTATAAATCCCCACAATCTGCTCTCCCATTTGGCAGAGAGTGGGAAATCTGTGTGTTTACCTTTTTTTACCTGGGGGAGAGCAGATAGAGTTGTTGTGCCTGTTGATGTGATTGAGAGCTGCAAGGGGAAGGGGATGGATCTTTCAGAGTTTTGTGTTAGCCACCCTTCTTTATTATTTTAGGAGATTTTACTACTAACATCTTTTAGATGGATTTTTTTCAAGTTTAAAATGTGTTTTTATTTTTGTGCAGTGTCTCTGGACCTCAGAAATCTTCTGAGAGTGATGGTCTTATGCAAACTGTAGTGATGGAAGCTCTGTTTGCCTATGAAGAATCCAGGAAGGTTCCTTCCAACTTTACTTGTGAGGTTGAGAAACTTTTTACTCAATCAGATTCTGAAACCATTTTTACCAAAGAAGAAGTTGCTGAAAGTATTATAACAAAAGCTGATAATGCACATCTCAATATCAATGGTCAGCACAAGGTTAGGAAAAAATCYTTGGACACTGAAGGTGAATTCCTTGGGCAGTGCGAGTCTGAAGAGAGAGATAAAGACAAACTAARAAGATCAAAAGAACCTGAACTCATTTCAAAAGAAAATCCTTTGTACATCAAAGGGTCTCCTGAGAGCAAAGAGAAATTAGGGCAAACTTCCTCTATAAAGCCTGACATTGAATGTAGTTCTAAAAAACTTGCATCTCTAGATATTCCAGATAAATGCCAAGATACAAAGGACATTTCTAATAACTACGTAGAGGTACCGCCTGTTAATGACTCTTCTATYACAAAGCTGGATAAAGTATTGGAAAGCCAATTTTCTAGAGCAGATGAGGGACTGAGTAATAAAATATGTGAGGATGATGATAAACATATGAAAAAAAATAAGAAAAAAATCCACGACTCTAAAAGAACGGACAAAGAGCACTACCGGAGGAAGAGAGAGAACTCGGACACTGAGGAGAAGGAGAGGCAGAGCAGAAACAAATCAGCTGAGCATTCCCACAGGAGGAGGAGCTCTCACAGCGTGGAGGTGAACAAGCAGAGCCGTCACAAGCAGGAATATTGCAGTGAGAGCAAGTACAGATCCTCCCACAACGACAGGAACAGCCCCAGTAACGGCMGGAGCTCAGGGAAATATTCCCGGTACAGATCCCGGAGCAGGGAAAGGACAGATCCTGACAGGAACAGGTATTATTATTATTATTATTCCAAAGGAGACAGACCTTGGATTAGAGAAAGATACTACCAGGATGAACCTCGGAGATGGGAGAAATGCAGATACTACAATGATTATTACTCCTCCCATGGAAGCCGGGATGGCAGGGAGAGGAAATCCTCTCATGGTGACAAAGACTATGACAAAATGAGCCAGGCTTACAGCAGGTCCCACAAGGATTATCACTGCAAGGGCAGATGGGCTCACAGCAGCCTCCCCAGAGAGGAGGATTTGCATCATTTCAGCAGCCACAGAGCAAACTTCCACCACTGTTCAGTACCTCAGCAGCACTCGGAGAAATTCTCCCGTGASAGACACACAATTCCACCCGTGTCAGCTCACCCCAGCTTCGAGGATTCCTCCCGGGAAAGCCAGAAAGAAAAACTAARAAATGGCAAAAGGAAATATTCCCACCAAGAAGAAAGTGGAAGTGACATAGAAAAGAAATGCCGAAAGGTAGATGACCAAAGAATCAAAAAGTATAAGAAGGTCAAGAAGAAAAAGAAGTCCAAAGATAAACATCGAGAGAAGGATTACAAGTAAGCAAGGATTCCAGCATAATCAGCAAGTTTTTCCTAATTATTTTCTGGGTATTTCTCATGTCTGCCTTTTTTTCATTGTTTCTAAGTAACTTATCTGTCATAACGTGACGGGATCATGTCCTTAGGTTGGCCAAGTGAAGATAGGGAAGATGTTGCTGAATCGTGTTAGAACACTAGAGCTGGACTGTGTAGTCAGAATAACATCTGCACACCGTTCTCCATTAGGTTACAATTTTCATTTTTCTTTTTTTTTTTAATTCCCCATATGCCTGTTAATGATTTGTGTACAAAACCAGGACCTGCTGTCCGGTTGCTGCATCTAAATTGAGTTAGATGTGCAGAAATGACCACAAAAGTAGCAGACACTCTGCAAGTCGTCACCTGTGGTAAATAAATAACATTTCATATATACATCAAGTGCCACATCTCTTTTTCTATTTTTAACTTGCATGTTTCCTTCAGACTTTATGATTTGGATTGCTCTGTGCTCCACTTTGACAATGACAATCGCAAACATAAGAAAAAGAAGAAAAAGAAGAAGCACGACAGGAAACTGAAAGACTTATTGGAATATTTAGATCCTCCTTTCCAGAAGCAAACATGGGAGAAGAAGGAAGAATCCCGTCCTCCAGATGACCATTTATGTGAGCAATACAGAAACCAGGGCAGTGAAGAACCCTCCAAGGAAGAGAAGCCTTCTGGCAGGAATTACAGCTCCATGGCATCCCRTGAGTGTGGCAGAGGTAAGGGCTCCTGGCACTCAGAACAATCTTAAATCTTTGTTAAATCTCTGGTTTTACCATGGCTTCCAATCTGTGTTGTGGCAGGGGTTGGAATAGATGAGCTTCAGACCAGCCCAGAGCATTCTGTAATAGAAAATATTCCATTCAGTGTTCACAGCATAGAAACAGTGCAGACACTCAGAACTCCCTGAGT